GTGTCTGTCTGTGTCTGTCTGTGTCTGTCTGTGTCTGTCTGTGTCTGTCTGTGTCTGTCTGTCTGTCTGTGTCTGTCTGTGTCTGTCTGTCTCTGTCTGTCTCTGTCTGTCTCTGTCTGTCTCTGTCTGTCTCTGTCTGTCTGTCTGTGTCTGTCTCTGTCTGTCTCTGTCTGTCTGTCTGTCTGTCTGTCTGTCTGTCTGTCTGTCTGTCTGTCTGTCTGTCTGTCTGTCTGTCTGTCTGTCTGTCTGTCTGTCTGTCTGTCTGTCTGTCTGTCTGTCTGTCTGTCTGTCTGTCTGTCTGTCTGTCTGTCTGTCTGTCTGTCTGTCTGTCTGTCTGTCTGTCTGTCTGTCTGTCTGTCTGTCTGTCTGTCTGTCTGTCTGTCTGTCTGTCTGTCTGTCTGTCTGTCTGTCTGTCTGTCTGTCTGTCTGTCTGTCTGTCTGTCTGTCTGTCTGTCTGTCTGTCTGTCTGTCTGTCTGTCTGTCTGTCTGTCTGTCTGTCTGTCTGTCTGTCTGTCTGTCTGTCTGTCTGTCTGTCTGTCTGTCTGTCTGTCTGTCTGTCTGTCTGTCTGTCTGTCTGCGTGCGTGCGTGCGTGCGTGCGTGCGTGCGTGCGTGCGTGCGTGCGTGCGTGCGTGCGTGCGTGCGTGCGTGCGTGCGTGCGTGCGTGCGTGCGTGCGTGCGTGCGTGCGTGCGTGTGTGTGTGTGTGTGTGTGTGTGGGCGCGCTTGTGTGTGTGTGTGTGTGGGTGTGTCTGCCTTGGTGTGTGGACATTCACAATGAGTGAGCTCCCTTTGCCTGGCCCATACGCATGTTTACATACGTACACGCTAGAATCTGAACATGTTGACATCACATGTAAGCGCATGCACATGTTCACATCAATACCCTGCATATACGATGGACATTGTGGAAGCTATCTTCCGGGCGGGGGGGGGGGGGGGGGGGGGGGGGCGGCAGACCTGTGCTTTGAGACTTCCTTGGGTCGTTCGAGATCGTTCGAGATGAATCCCTGGACAGGAGCCTGAGACGGAGGTGCGGGCCCGGGTGGCTTTGGGGCCTGGAAGGATGGTAGCCTTACCCCGACCGAAGCGCAGCCCAACAGCGTAGGTGTCACAGTCTGTCAACTTCACCTTTAAACACTTGAAAACAACCCAACCGAATGAGTGCTCAATGTGGTGCTTGCGTGTCGCCTCTGTCTTGCCGGGTGGATCGCCGGCTGTAGGCCCTCGCAGAGCGCAGGGAAACCGCAAGTGTAGCAAATTCACAAAGAGTCCCTTGATGTCAGAAGGTGAACTGGTGGCCTGGAAGCCATATCGGAAATGTCTGCCTGAAAGGATTCCCATGGCCCAAACCAGCATGCCTTGAATACGGGTGCGAAATAGCTTGATGGAGAGAGTGTGCATTACAACCCACCCACCTGGAGTCTCCCATGCCTCGAGAATATGGGCTCACAGTCAACCCCTCGTTGGTTTGTTTCTCAGGCGCCTGCAAAGAGACGATGCGTGGAAGGCGCGCGGTCTGGCGGGTGTGTCGTCTCTTTTGCTTCAGGCAGTCAGACTGTCTGACAGTCAGGCACTCTAATCAGAGGCGGTCATTTAGCGGGCTGTTCCCAAAAGTGTGCAAATCTTGCCCAGGCACTGAGGAGTTTGTCGGAACAGGTCAAGCTGCTCGGACCTCAAGTTGCTTGCTTCTTTTGTAGGGTGACTCCCTTCAACTTGCCAGCCTTGAAAAGAGGTGCCTTTTTGGCTCTGGATGGGTTGTGTCAACCGCTGCATGCAGCCATGGAATGTGCCATAAACCCAACACAATCTTGGCCATGCTGAAGGTCCTCAAGTAAGGGGATTGCCTATTTTGGGTTTGTACCCGACCTCACTCAGGGTGTGCTTTTCAGACATGTCGGGTGGTGACATTTAGTGCTCGATTTAGAGGGAGCCCGCAAACAGGGCGCCTCTTCTTGTCAAAGACATGCACTGGATGTGGTTGTTGCTCCCCGCTTTGACAACCCCAGACAACGAATCAAACTATATCAAACTCAGTGCGTTGCAGCATAACTTTCAAGGTCTGTTTGGGAAAACAGGAGGAGTTGGGGTGGTGGGGGATTGCAGTTGTGTTTCAACTTGTTTGGCAGTTGTCAGGATGTTGCGTTCGCGCCGGGGGCGGCCTTCTGGGAGTTGATTGGTTGGCAATCAGGGGGTTTCACTGAATGTTTCACATTTGGGGTTGAAGCAGTCAAGTGACTGATTGGGTATACTTCCTTTGTATCGTGGGGGGGGGTGGGCCTGGTTAGGCGCCATTTCCGAGGCCGTCCGCGGGTACGAGAGGAGTACTTACATTTTCACCTATAAGAAACCGGCTCTCACGCATTCTAATGCATCCTTTGCGTGGTCGGTCATGAATCCTTTAATGGGGATATGACTACGGCAACCACAGTCCGTTTTCCTGCTTGCCCTTGTCACCCTATTGGCTCGTGTGGACCAGTGGAGAGAAACTCGGACACTGCAAGAAACATGCAACCTTCTTGCAGAGGGAAAGCAAATGGGTATGTTGACGACCTCAAAATGTGTTGTGTTTCTGCTGGTTCCCTTAAAGGTCACCTGAAAAGTGTACCCTAAACAAAAACACAACAAAAGAAAACAGCAACACAAATCAACAACGCTGGCTTTGCAGTTCAACATCGGGATCCTTTCCCTTTGACCAACCACCCCTTCAAGCCCGTCGCAGGCTTGCGCCGGCTGCGGCACAAGACTCGCCTCGAGCCACATGGCACACATAGCTTTGCTGCGATGGCAAGCTCAGCTTGCGGAATAAGGAACTGACTCAAAGCTTCCAGTTGCTGAGTAGTAATTATGTTTTGCTTCCCCCTGTTGGTTTGAAGGGGAACCTACCGCAATTTGATTTATGTTCTTTCCAGGGAACCTCAGCAAATGCAGGATAGATCAGGATAGTATACGTAGGTTTGTTCAACATGAAACTGTGTCCCTTTTGTAAGGCTCCTCCAAAATGGCTGCCCTCAAAAAGAACATGCTGACATGTTTAAACGCCCTTGTTGTTTTTGGGTCCCCTGGTTTTCTAGGGTGTGGTGTCTCAGTGTCCGACTCTAGCGGAGATCCGGGACACTTGTACGGAGAATTGCGCACTGGTACCTTTGGATCTGCCGTAGGAATCATCAGGAGATGATAAGAAATGTGGGTCTGCCGGGGTGGTTCCGAATCTACTTCGAACAACGAGACTAAGGGAGACTCACATGTTGAAACCTGAGCTGTTCGAGGCAATCTGCTGGATTCGGTTCCATTTCGGGCTTAACCACTTTTTGGCAGCTTGGACAATTTAAGTGGTGAATGAGAAGTTCCAGGGCTTGTTTGTGGCCAATCCACTCAGGAAGTGAGATATGAGGCTGACCCAGAATTTTATTTGTTGTATCGCCCAGCGGGCCAAGATTGGGCTTTGATTCGGGCCGTGCATTCCGCGCCTGACTTCAAGTTAAGTTTGCCCGGATTCTGCAGCCTGACCCTGCTTTGGGTCAGCGGCAGGCGAGGCTTGGAAGTAGGGACATTACTTTTTGTTATTAACACGTATGTGAAGCAGAAACAAAAGCCAACAACACGTTTTAGGGATCCCCCTATTTTGACACATACCCAGATGTGTATTGTTGGGCTGGCGAATTCGTATTGGCCTTCATTAATGAACACCTGGCGTAAAGCACAGGCGGCTCCCCACAAGGAAACTTCTGCCGTCTTTATTGGTCATCAGAACAATAACCGCAAAAGGACTTCTGGGTAACTTGTTGCAGTTGTTTTTTTTTGGGGGGGGAGGCTGATGAAGAAGTTGGTATTTGATGCCATTTTATTCAATGGCACCCCGACGATCTGCAATGTATATATATATATATACACTTGTATCTAAGCATGGTTGACTTAGTGCAGAGCCAGGCTCACTGAGACAAAAGGGCAAGACTGGACGGGAGCTAGTATGGAGTATACAGTTGTCAGTAAAATTGAGACAAGCAGTAGATGTCTATTTTGTACCACACTTCCCTCAAAAAGAACATCCTTGTGGGGTGTCTTTGGTTCAGAGTTGGGGTGCTTTTGCCATCAACCTCACCCATTGCTACATGAACATTTGCACGCTTTCGTCTCGTCGTCCCAGCCTTTTACTTCCTTTTTGTTTGGGCTCCAGTCCGGCTCACCCCCCCCCCCCCCCACAACGGGTTCCTGCCACCAGGCGACCGGGTCCTTGCGTTGCACGTTGCCTTGCTCAGGACGCCGCTCAGCTTGTGATTCGCCTGCGCTAGGGCACATCAAGCCGCTGTGGGTATTCTGGTTGGTGAAGTATAGGAATCGGTGCAGAGTGAGCCATGAGCACCAATCAATACTGTAGTGTTTGCATTCTTGACTTGGCATTGCAGAGGGTGATTCGTTGAAGACATTCTTGTGTGACCTGGGTTAGCTAGCACACAAACGCAAATTTCAAGCCATGAGACTGGAGGGTTCAGGTAAAGGTGGTGTCTATCTTCGACTAGTGCTTAGATATCTCCGCGCCACTTCGGTGCTTCGCCATTTTTGCAAGGTGGTAAGTGACGGCTGTCAGAGCGATTTGTTCTTGCGTGATCCGTTTTTCTTTTGAATGTTATCCCAATAAATCCGTGTATACATGTATGCAACATGTGCGTTTGTATATGCACGTGGGTGAGATTGCGGAGCAACATAGCACAGAGAGATCCTCTGAACTCAAAGCAGGCCGCTTGGCACGGGCAACAGCGCCAGGCTACACATTCCACCTTGCCTCCGCTGGGTTGCGCCATTTCGCGGCATGTGGCGAGATGTGACATTCACATCGCTTGCATGCAGGGAGCGATGCATGCTTGGGGAGCACGCCGCTGTCCGGCGGACCCTGGCCCTGTCGAACCACCCACAGTTAATGGGGAGGAGCTCAACCATGTGCCCAATTGCCTTGAGTTTTGCAGGAGATCTAAGGTTGCTCGGCTTCTGAGACTCTTGGGTCCGTCCGGCTGGGGGATGGCAAGCAAATCGAGTTTTGCTTGGCGTTGGTCGGGTAAAAAACACCTTTGCCGCTCGCGCAGTGTCTTGAGATGAAGCCCCGAGCCCAGTTGCCATCGATATTTTGAACAGCCTACGGGTCGACGAAGTGCAGTTACCTTCCTAAATCAGATTCAGTAATAGACACCTTCGGACTCAGTTTGAGGAAGTTTTAAGACATCCCAGAAAATAGGACCAGGCCAAAAGTGTGTTGTTTTGGTGAGTTGCCAGCAGCTATCAGCCTGTCAAATATGTGGATGCTCTCACGGATTGGTGTGTGGTGTTGCTGTGTTGGTTTAACACAATATGTGTTTCGCTAAGCTGTGTTCAATCCTATTGGGAGACTGCAAAGCCTGTTGCACATGCGACTTTGGACATTCTTGTTTGTTTGGTTTGCTTCTATGCAATTTTACTGGCAGGCTGCAACGACTTTGCCAGTGTGACATGATCTCATGTATGATTCGTGGTTTGCATTTCTACTGGGGCTGCAACATGTTTGCCAATGATACTTGATATATATATATGTGTATATATATATATATTTATATGGGTTAGTTTTTTTCCTTCTCGTGTGGCTTAGTTTACTTCTAGTGGGGGGCTGCAAATTGCAAGGGGGGTGTTGAGAGGGGCGACCTTAAAGCAACTTGCCATTTGCGTGGTTTAGTCCCGTTCATGTTTTCTGGCATGCCGGAAAGTCTTTGTTAATGTGTCTTTTTACGGCTTGTGATGTTGATTTGGCTTTGTGTGTTGGGGTACTGGGAGGCTGCAATGTATTTTGCTAGCTTACCCTCAGAGAAGGCGGTACAATAACAAATGTAGTTTCTCGAGGTTTATTATTTTTTGGGTTTGGTTCTGTGCTGTTTTATCGTGAAGATGCAACACCCTTTGCTAACATGCACACTGCCGCCGCGGGGTGGTAGCCACCCCTTTGCAGGTCCCATTTCTCAAGGGGCCGTGTCCTGTGCCCCGGGATTGTACTCAATTTTGTCGGTTCGGCAACTTGCTCAGGATCACACCCTTTTGGCGGCTCTATTTGGAGACACACCCAAACACTTGCACTATTTAAAGCACGCTCCTGGACCTTGACAATCCAAACCTGTGCATTTCTCACCATTCGAGTTGGCAAATTTTTGCCTGCGTTGGCGGGCAGCTTCCCCATTTTGAACCAAGACTTGTTTCCTGAGTTGCTGGACTTCAAGCTTTTTGGGAAGGATATTTTGGTGTTTGGACCTTTCTCCAGTCCGCTCAAGAGGTGAGTACACCTTGGCCCAGTACGCTCCGAGTCGCTGAGGATCCACCTGGTCACAACCTCCGCAGAAGTGGAGCTCCAAAGGGTGCGCCGTAACCTCCCCCCCCCCCCTTGCCTCCAAGGTTCACAAGGTTCGGCTATTTGTGGTGGCTGGTTCAAAGGCTTATAGACGCAAACATGTTACAGACCCCATCCTGGCTCAACACTACTTTCGGTCAGCTGGGACTTGTAATAACATAATCGACCTTTTGACTTTTGGGGAACCCCTTCTGGGCTATTCCTAGTGGCCTGAAAGCTGATCGCCTTACATGTTTGGGTCCAGACTCGGCTGAGACTACGATCCTATCGTCAAATTCTGCTCTCCGTGAGATTGAAGTTTCGTCAGCTGACGAAACTGGAGCCCTTCTAAGGGCCGATTGGTGGTGCCCCCCGGCCCTGAGCAAACCTTGCGGCAAGCTTTCTGCACATGTTCGTCCTATGTGACATGCGTCCATAGCTCAATGTAGATTGGGAGCATGTCTAAAGAGCAGGCCTTCGGTGGAAGTTGTTTGGCATCTATAGGCGGGCCCCTTGGGACGCATGCAGTTTGAGTGGTCCCCTAAAGTCTTAGCCTGGGTCTGAAGTGGTTGCATTTTGGACGGAGGCAAGCTAGAGACTGCTTTTGGGTGCAAAGATAATTTCATATTCGGCCCAGGGACCCGGTTCTAATCGTATATAGCTGGCCCGCCTCCAGTGGTTCCCTTTGGTTTCAAGCAGGCTGCCTAATCTTTCCCACTCCCACTGGGTGTCCGGGATTCCTTCATTTTGGTTTAGTCATCCACTTTACTCACCCACACATATGAAGGAAATTGTGCCAACCGCGGTCATACGTCAGCCCAGTTGCAACACTGCAACCCCACTGGATTGATTTTGTACATTGGGGCAGCCTTTCCGCAGTGCATTTTTTGGTGGCTGGAAGCAGAAGCAGGGCTGCTACTTGCCGGCTCCTTGGCAGCCAGTACCGGGCCCCGTACTCAAAGGGGCTTCCGCACCCAACCGCTACGAATTGATAAGGCAAATATCTGCATGTACTTCCAGTGGGCATGGTCCAATCTTCATCTACCCAGGTCTTAGCTGTCAAATGCCATGCGCTTTGCCCCGAGGAAGCGACTGCAAGGTTGTCCAGGGTGCTTTAGCCTCGCAGGGCCCTCTGGTTGGCAGGGGCCCCCCCCTTCTCTTCCCTGCATTTCGCTAGAGGCCAATTGCCACCAAGAAGGCCTACCTATTCAGGATCCTTTTGTGTGCCTTTTTTGGGGGGTCCAATTCTTTTGTTTGGGGGGCTGGGATGTGGCTATGCCTACGGAAACTGGCCCACAACTCACGCAACCCACATCCCGAAAGCAACCCGGCCCTAAAGGCACCGCTTAACCAGCAGCACACCCAACACAAATCAGCTCCAAGACCCCAAATCCGCCCAAAGTCAGCCCTAACCCTGGATGTCAGCCCTCCTAAATCAACCCCAAACCACCCCACGCTCATGAAGATCTAAGCCAGCCTGAACCCCACCCGAACTAACTCCCAACTGCCTCCCAATCAGGGCCAACAGGCAACAAGTGAGGCTGTTGATGTTAGGATGTTGCCAGCAGCCCTCGGGAACAAAAAGGCACCACTGCCCCGCCGTGTCCCAAAATGTATGCTTTTCCTTTGATAGATTCGGACAAAGCGTGTAACGATATCCAATGCAAGCTTTGCCTGAGGCACAATGGGAAACTTTGCCGGCACATGCAGGACTCTGATGTGCAGCTTGCAAGTACTGGCAGCCTGGTTCCAAATTGTGGGGGAAATTTCCGGGAGTGTCAACCGCGCCTTGCCTGGGCCCTTTTGCCATTCTGGGCCTCCATGGTTTTGCATTCACCAGCAACATGTCAGAAAAGTCTGATCAAGAGTCCACGTCAAACCAGACGACCCTTCAGAAAAGGAGAGTCGGGCCTGCTTTGGAGACCCCGGACTTTTCGGAGGAAGGCAGGCCATTGCACATGGCTTCTTGGGCCCGACTAGCGAGCGGTACTTTCCGGGTTCGCTTGAGACAGGAATTATGAGTCCTGATTTAGCTCACTGCACAACAGTTGGTACTGGTCACACCTGCTCATCCTAGTGAGACAGTTCCAGAAGCCAGCTTGGGCATTGCAACCATGAAGTCTTGCAGCCAATTGAAGCTTGAGAGTTCGGCCCGCTCGACCGTGCGAGCGACAGACAGTATGACCACGGTATCGGCATGTGGTCCCCGGCGTGCCCCTATCAGTTTTGCAGATTGAGAGGTATCGGTCACATATCGGTTTCGGATGGTAGTGTTGTTGCTGTGGCTATGTGTTGAACCTGGGGACACTTCCAGCTCCAGACAGTTGACTACATTTTGGGCATCCCTGACAAGGGGCCCCCCCACATGTGGCGGGGACTCCTTCGCATTGCAACTCAGCCCTTTCTCGGACGACTTTGCAGGCCCCTTTCTGGGAAGGGTGGGATTCGTGTCGCGTTGGCTGAGACCGGCACCCGCCGCGACGGCTCGCAGCAGCACCAGTTCTTAGATGCGGCCAAGGCGGCCGGTGGACTCATTTTGGGGCAAAGCTGAGGTTTTTGAAACTTTGTGTAAGGTCATGTGATTTGATTGGGCTTTGGCACCGGGCCTTTTGTTGGCCGCTCACCCGGCCTGAGTATCCCGCATGAGTTTGTAAACCAGAAAGCTCAAGGACTAGAGAATGAGAGGATGGCCTACGCCCAAATTCTGCAATGGGAACTGCGGATCTAAGTAGAACCCCTGGTTGGTGAATATACCGGGGTGTCCCCTTCAGTGGTTCCTCACTTTTGGAGAGGAACTCTCATTATAAGACAGGTTTATGAATCCGGGGTCAACATTGAGAGGGATTCGGTTGATCAACCCCTACATGAAGTATCTCTCACGGGCGTGGCATCACAGTCCTCTTGATGGTGCAAGAGCCGCCAGACTTCGAAATCCTATTTCGGCACACCCCACCAAACGCAAATCCATTTGTTTGCTTCCCTCTGGGTGCAGTCCACAAAACAGGGTCGCCATTTAGCTCCCAGAAAACTGAAGGGGATTAGGCCCCTACGGCCACATTGGGGTGCTGATCCGAGGCATGCTGTTGAGTGACTTCCAAAAACGAAAACCTAGAGCCCAGACCCGCAATATGGGGTGACCTTTGGATCGGAGTTATTATGTCCCCATCGTCTGGTTTTGGCCTTCTGCTTGAGTCAGGTCCGCACTTTTGTGTCGCTTCTGACGGCTTGGGTTCGGCCAACACGTGTTTTGTGGGCCTCGGGTCGGGAGGTCGTGTGTTGCAACCGCCAGGCCGGCAACTTTGCAGAGGTCCGGCGCATGCTGGAGGAGCCGTACCGATGTCGACACCCAGACCGGTCCGTGGTGCCCTATGGCACTCTTTTTTCCATTGCATTGGAGGGAGAGTCCCTTTGAAATGAGCTGCCAGAGAAAGAGGGCCCTTTCGGTTCTTTTGGAAATCCACTGGTCTGGACACAAGTGCTTAGTTCAAACAAGCTGTAGATTCTGTCTTGGGATTCTTCGAAAGCCTGGCTTCTATCAGCCCATATGCATATGCATGTGAGCCGCTACACCCGACCGACCTGTTGGGTCAATCAACCGCTCATGGCTTTGCAAACCCTTGGGTTACTGAAATGGCGGCTGTTTTCCCTTGGCAACCAAAAGGGTACCCAGAAAAAAGACAGACCCAAATCGTAGAAACAAGCCGACAAGGCATCTCTACAATTAGGCCTGCCCACAAAAAAATGGATTTCCTGCAGGCTTCCCGGCTTCTTAAATACGGCACTACTGCTTCAATGCCATAGGGCAGGGGAGCCAAGGGCCCTCAATCCTCAATGCCCAACAACTTGAAAAGAGGAGCCAAGAGGAAAACCAACCATTTTGTGTGGGTACCCAACCATTTACCCAGCAAAAAGACGGACTTGTAGAATAGCGCTACGGAGCGTTTGCTGGCTTAGCCCCGCTTGCTTTCAAATGAATCTCTTCATATAGCGCACCACCCAACCATTTTGGACTGGGTTCCCAACCATTTTGTGTGGGTACCCAGCAAAAAAGACAGACCCAGATTGGACATTGGACCGGGTTCCCTTCTCGCCGAGGAGAAGCCGGACCTTGTGAACTGCCAGCCCAACGGGCGATGGTCCGCCCTGCACCATGCCGCGCACAAGGCGGGAGGCCGCGCGTGGGAAATGATGTTTCAAGAGACGAGTACTCCCCTACAGCTAGAAAATAGAACCCAGAAATCAAGAATTTATCAGAGACCTTCTTTTTTTTTATTAGAGGAACTTTTGGGACATGGAGCCTTGTTTGAGGCTTTCGTGTGAATTTGTAGGGGAGTAGTATGTTTGCAAGTCATCCTCCCAACGAAGGTTGTGCACCCTATGTCATTTTGGATGATATGCCAATGGCCACGGGCCACCGGATGGTGATACTGCAGGGCTGTACTTGAGGCCAAGAAGGGGCACTGCTGCTCCAGAGGAACTACGTGCCCCTGGGGGCATGCCCAATCAGGCATAGATTAGATTACACAGATAGACAGAGAAAATTAGGTTAGCTTAGCTTAGCTTAGCTTAGCTTGGATGGATAGATGCATAGATAGATGGATAGATACGTGCGTATATATATATATATATATATTATAGCATCAACATAGTCAATATATTGTGCATCAGGGGCCATAAAAGCCAATTGTAGCCCGAGGGCACGTAGTTGTTTCCTCAAGCCACGCTGATCAGTGCGAAAGCTGGTGCATGGCAAAGAGTTGTACTTGGTTTGGTGGCGTGACCCGACAGCTGAGTCGCTTTGTTTTTTTGCTTGCACTCAATGTGGTGTTTGCTTGGCGGTGCTTCGTTCCGTTTCCTGTTGCTTTGCGCGGTGCTTGGTTCTGTTGTGGGCGTCAGGCCGTGATACAACTAGTTGCTTCCTGCTTGTGAAGAGGATCCCAAATTGAAGTTGCAAAGATTTAACCGTGAGAATCAGTTCGCATACAGAGGCATCTCTGGTTGAAGGAGCATTCGGGGAGTAAGCCAACTTGGACTGGTGGCTTTGAGACCAAACCGGCCATGGCTATGGGCCTGTTGCCTGGAAAAAACGGGTGGTGCTCCGAGACGGTGCCCTAGATGTCCCGTTTTGGTAGTTTTAAACATCAGCTTGTTGGCCGATTTGAAGTGACTTGTCCTTGGTAGCGGTGATGCTTCAAGGGGAAATCTGGAGATTCGGGACCCTGAAAAAAGAATGATGCCCAGGCCAAAAACCAGAACACAAGTGTAGAGAAAATCGACGACTTGGCTTCCTTTGGTTTGCTCCTCGGACCACAGTTCTGCCCTTGTGCCATGCAAACCAACTCTATGCTCTGTAACGGGAACATGTTGAAGGGAAATGAAGAGCCCTTGCGTGCTACGCAGTTGATATCCTTAATGTTGAAAACGTAGGGAAGCGGGAACTCCCCTGTAACTGTAATCAACAGTGGTTGGTGGTTGGAAGTGCACATACAGGCAAGCGAGACTGAACCCCCTCGATCAAACATGTTTGAACCGCCATTGTTTGAACAGGCTCCTTTTGGTTTTCCTTTCAAGGCAACAAGCTCCTGGCTGCTTAAAACAAATTTGGCAACTGGCCCAACTCGTTGGTGAGCTCGCGATTGGCTCAGGGCAACCTGGCGGCTGTACAGTCCCTGCTCGAGCCGCTTTGCCGCAGGATCACTCCCGGAATTGCTTTTCACCTCCCTCCGGCCTGGGTTAGTGTTCCTAGGTGGAACTTGTTTAAAATAAAAGAAGCCGATCATTTTTCCCGTCCCCCCATTTTGACACCCAAACCAATCCTTCATTGTGCTAGGTAGTGGTTCGCCTTGTAGTGGGCGTCCCACTATTCAATTCGGGCTCCGGGCCCCCATTTTGCAGAGTCTCGCTGCACCAGGGAGATTTGACCCACTGGCTGCTGGCTGGTCAGTCTTTAGGCCGCCCAGAAAACCCTCCAAAACAAAGGGCAACTCATTCGGGCAAAGGGGCAACCCCAAAGCCCAAAGTCGAGGGCAGCATAGGTCTCCACCCGTCCGGCACCACCCGGCGGTGTTCATTTCGAACGATCCGCCGTGACTTTTGGCTGAGGCGGGGGGCCTCGCTGACGCTGAAGACGAGGGAAGGCCTCACTCCCGTGGAGGTGGCGTCCTCCAGCATCTTCGACCACTTGCTCTACCTCTCCCTGCAGGACGAAAGTCATGACTTTGCCTGTTTTGGGCCCGGGGGAAAAGGGGGGGAACCGAAGCATCTGAGGCCGGGAAACGCGGTCCTGTCCTTGTTCTTCCATTGCTGAAGAATGGCCGAAGAATATGTTCACTATTGTTATTCTGGCTGTTGGTTTTAAAGGAGACTATCGCTATTCGAGAGATGTTCTCATTGTTTCCAGGGGGCGACAAGTCCCTTGCCCACATAAGTCCAGGTGAGTCTTTTCAGTACCTCCCATTGAGGCCGGGGTTATCAAAAGTCAGAAATTACAGTTGTTTCCCTTTAATGGACAATGCTAGATCAATGGGGCCTGGAATCCCTACCCACTTAATGGAAGTCCACATGTGGTTCCATGTTCCCTTTTATGAAGATTAGACAACTGTAATTTGGGTAGCGACTCCCCTTCTTTTCCCTTCCCTTTGGTGCCGATTCGCCCCTTGTTGGACCTTTGAAGGAAACAATTGGCTGGTTCATTCCCAGCAAAAAGGCGATTGACCAATTTGTGTGGCGCCGAAAGCCCGTGAGCAACCCAGGTAGGTTTCATAGCTGCGGAATCAAGCGATTCACAAGGGAAACGTTGCCCAGACCTTTGCCACACCAAAAGGCGGCTGTGTTCAATCCATGTACTATCCTTTTGGAGGCGCCTTTTGTCACATGAGGGCGGCGTGCTCCACAAGTCCAAAAGCATAGGCGGTCGAGGTTGAGGCTGGGGAAATGCAGTCCTTTGCTGGTAGGTTTCCTCGACAGTTCCCTGTTTGGTTGAAAATTAGCTGGACCCCGGAAAGCAGCGCAAGGTCTGTGGATGTCCCTTATTGCTACGAGGGCACGAGGGAAACCACACAGTTGTCGGTTGGGATTCTTGTTTGTTTTCGTATTTCGTGTTGGGGAAGGTTTGGTGGTTGTGCTTACCATTTAAGGGCGTGGGTTAGGTATGCTTAGGTTCGGGGCGCTGGGGTTCCTTTTTTGTCAAGCCTCGTCTGGGTTGCCTTGGGTGGGCGGGTTCGGGGAGTGAACACGTCGGTGCGGACAGGCCGTTCCTCGGCCGCTGGCTATGGAGGATTCATATTAATATGTTTGTTCAAGGCCCCCTGCAAGTGAGGCCATCTTGGTGCCTCTATGACTAGACTAGCCCTAAGTTCTAAATTGCTTACGTGTTTCACGGGGAAATGGATCTTCGTCTTTCTCTCAGTGCCCTTTCCCACACCAAAATGCACTGCACCAGGCGTCAGAGGCAGAAGAGGCGAAGGGGAAATGCTCCAAGCGCCGCTTCGGCGTCAGACTGGCACGTTGAGGTGGTGGTTTGTCTCGATTTTGGATTTCCCTGTTTGGTTGTTCATTCAAAGGGAAATTAAAAGTCAAAGCATGGCTTCAAGCAGGGGTCGCGCCTGTTTTGGCACAGAACCATACCCCATGTCCCATGGTGAAATTGAGTGTCCCTTCCCAATGAGAGACATCATTTAGGATAGTCATGGATAGTCCCCCGTTCGCTTCTTGAAATTGCATCGTCGGAGGCTAATATTCGCCATGGTCAACAGCATTTAACTGGGATTGGTTTGCCAATATGTTTGACGGTGGCAAAGGACACAAGAGTTCCAACTGCATAACCCATTCTGGTACCCCTGACATCATTTTACGGTTCCAGATTCGCTCAGTCTGGGCCAGAATCTTGGCATGTCTTTCAGCTGGTTCACATGAGTGGAGTGTCTCTCGCTCAAGCAAAGCTGTCTAGAGGTGGACACAACGGTAGCACCACACTGTTCCGCGCGGCAACTCGCGGAAGGAACGTGGTCGAGTGCTCTTTCCAGAATACATTGGCTCTTGCCAGAATTACTAGCAGATCGTGCAGAAGCTACTTTCCTCATCAATTTCGACTTGTCTCACGGAAGGTACCCTTCACACCTCCAATCAAACTTAAAGGGAATACACACCAGCACACACAAGGGCCAGAATCTAGACATTCATTTGTCAGCCGATTCACCAAATATGCGCATGTTCCAGTGTGTTTGAACCATTCAACATTATAATATATATATATATATATACATGTATGTGTATATATATATATATATATGGTGTCCAAGCCCACGAATTTTCAGCGGCCAGCCAGATGGCCTCGGGCTTGGCCTAGGCTGTGCCAGTGAAGAAGTTCTTCGCACCCTGACGCTCTGGAGATTTTCACCAAGCAACCTGCCGGCAGGCGGGTTCCGGGGGTTCCCGGGGTTCGGGGTACTTTTGCCAGTCTTAGGGTTTCTGATGTCACGTTGCCGTGTTCTGTTTTGTGTGACCAAATCGCCCTCCCACGCCCCCCTCTTGGGGACTTGGTTTTTCAGGAAGGAGCAACCGAGCCAGGGATGGACGAAATCTGTTTCGCGCCAGTTGTCTACATCTTAGATGCTCTCACTGTGGATTCCACCAGTTGTCGTACTCTTTTAGCACTTTTCATAGGGGGAATGCACAGGTGGAGCACCAAACACAACCCCCAGAATTTGAGATGGATGAAGCCCTGCAAATCACGGGGCAAACCACATCGACCTGTGCAGGATTTCGTTTTTCCGCAGTATGGAGGGAGGGAGAACATCTGCTCAAGGTTCCAGCAGATGTGAACCATAATTATATATATATGTTTATTTGTTGGTTGATAGGCAACAGCCAAGGTGGATACAGTGTCCCTTCATGGGTACGAGATACGACATATAAATAGGGGGACTAGGGTTTCGGCTTGAAGATCTTCGTGTCGCTGGCTTAGAACGAAGACACCACAAACAAGTGTCCCGAAGGGTGAGTTCGCCTTTTAGCAGCACGTTTCAGACAGTTAGGGAAGGTTTTTGTGATTTTGGCGAAAACCGCGCATGATTCCAGAAATTGACTTTAGAACTTCAAATGGCTTTCTGCGGAGCCCTTGTTCTGCTTGAGTTTGCGCCACCGCTTCGAAGAGCCTTCAAAGAACACTAGCTTTTTGCGGAACCCTTGCAAGAACCTTACAGTATTTTGTCAACAAGATCCGTGGTAGAGCTGTCCAGGCAGCCCCCCCCTCCCATTTGCGTCTCAATGTTTTGGGGCTGATTAGATTCTTCTCTTCGACCCAGTGATGTGGCCTCTTGGCCAACAACCAAAGCCCCCAGTTTCCGGTTTGACATGGCTGGCCTTTGGTGTGACATTATATACTTCCTGATACGCTGGAAGCAAGTGGCTTTTCTCGTCCTTCTGCTTGGGGAAGAGCAAGCCAGTTGAGAGATTTTGTTGGGAACCTGATTATAGAGGGGCAGTGCATGTTCTCTTTAGCATGTCTGCCCTGAACCAGGGCATCATAAGACGTGTTCAAAGAACAAGAGGCAAGGGAGCGGATTGGGATCACTTTGGGGAAAGGGGCGCAACTCAAATGATTTTCAGAGTGTCTCTTTCTGCAGGTCTCAAATGGCTATATTGTTTTTGTTTAAGGGCACCACCTGACAAGTGCTTGGTGGACACGATTTCCCACCTAAATCATGGCCAAGGGCACTCCTATCAAAATTCATACCCACATGGTGGACCAAATTCCTTTTGCTTATGCAAAGGGAAACTGAAAAGAACCTGACCATTTTGGCGGATCGCTTCCTATGTTGGTAAACATCCCAACCGCACGATTCGCTGCACGTCCAGGCGTTTGCCTCTCGGAGGAGGACTCGCAGTGCCTCATTTGCCTGGAGGATTTTAAGGAGGAGGAGCGCTACAAAGTGGCAGTGGGTCAAAAATAGGTACCCAAAATGGAGCCCTGGTAAATGGAAACATGGACTAAAACCTGCGGTCCCCTGGTGGTTCAATTTCTGACTCATACCCAAGTGGCTGCAACCAGCACCCCCAACAACTGCTTTGTCCCATGCCCAACATCCCGGGTACTGTCCAAAAAAGCAGCGGGTGGGGCGGTGCTGGAAGTTGTTTTTGTTGTAATAGGGACACCCGATTCGAAGGGAACCGGTGTGTTTTTTCTTACAGGCAACTGATGTGCAGAGTTGTTTTTCCAGCCAGGCACCCCACTCTCGGGGAAACCGAAACATGCGTTTTAGCCAATTTAGCTGATCAGCTTCCCTCGAAAAGGGGGTTTGGAAGTCTCGGTGGTTTGCAGGTGTGAAGGTTGGGTGGTTTCCCATTTACCCCAAAACACATCATCAGCTAGAGGGAAGCTGGAGCTGATTGATCCAGTGCGATGAAGCAGCCAGGGGTTGACCACCCTCAACAAATCACCTGTTTTTGTTTGCTCACCATCCAGAAGGAGGTGGAGCTGGGTGCCGCGTAGAGCCGCCCAACTCCTTACAGACAGTCTGCACCCCTGAGGAGGAGCTGCGGACCCTGCACTGCTGCCGGGCACTTGGCACGGACCGCCGCACCCGCGTCCCAACCGCATGTCAACCCTTAGCAGTGAACAGATGTTGATGTATTTTTGTTAGGTTCGCAGATAGAAACCGTTGTGGTTCCTCGTAAGGTGAGTTCCCGGTAAGTCAACCATATTTTGGCACTGGCTTGCAATCATCCATTCATAGGGTTCGCTCTCTTTGGTTTGGTGCAGGCATTCTTTTTGCCATGGCTGCCACCAGCCTTCCGCAAATTCCATCCTTGTTCTATTTCACACCGGCCAAGCTGTCCTTCCCAAGCAGTTTTGGAGCCGCGACCTCAAAGACCTCGGGGACCAGGGCCTTTTGGGGAAGATATGAGAAGATCCCCGGACAAAGGACTCCGGAGAACTCAAGGTATGTCTCGAAGGGCCCACACACCCTTTGTGCTTTCTTGTTGAAGGTCAACCACAAAAAACCTGCGGGCTTCGTTCACTCTTAAGAGGGGAGTCGCAGACAAGGAGGCGTGAAGTACCCAAAAACGTGCGCCCCCTTTTTTTCCGATGGAAATCCACTGGACGGGGGTTGCCGAGGCCACTCCTTCCACGCGCGGTGTGTTGATGGCTGGCTGACCGAGAAGAGCCGCTGCTGCCAGACGCCCAAAGGGGCAGAGCCCAGCAGCACGAGACACGTGTCTTGGGTTTGGAACGCGCCAGTCGCGTCTAGTCGGTATGTGTTGGTTTCATTCAGAAGCCAATGGGCCAGCCCCTAAAACGGTACCCGCAACAAACGACAACTCCCGTTTGGGGGGATCCGTGCAAGTCCACGTAATTTGAGGACATACTGGACAGGTTGTGCGCAGAAGTTCCGCAGAAGTCGCTTTTTTGCAGAGAAGCCAGGGTCAAGAGCTTAGAACGACCCACCCGAACGAACGTATGGGAGTGGGCTGTTGACAGGTACTCCTTGAACCTTTTGCAGGGGGTTATTGATTGGGTCAGGCAATCCACGGTTGGGAGTTTTTTGGGCCACCTTTGGGAGTTTCGCAGAGTTTCGCAGAGTTTCGCAACAAATCGATGGTGTTCTCCAGGTCTTCTTTTCTGCGTTGAAATGGGGGCCCCTTGGCCGCTGAGCTAGCTTTTCTCCTACATGGGGTAACTCATGTTGACTTCGGGATTCAGAAGACCCCACCAGTCAGGGAACGCCTAAACAGATCATGTCCTTTTGGGGGAATCCACCCTGATAAGTGCGCTCCGGATTAATCCGAAGTTGAATTACTCGGGTGAACCAATCCGACCTTCCTCGTTATCCGCCAAGCCTTAAGCTGTAAGCAACCGTCCTGGCTTGGCGTTCCGCGAATTGGGAAAACTTTGGACTCTTCTGTGGATGCACGTGGCAAATCATACTTATTCCATGACGCCCATGTCAACCTCAGTCTAAGAAACCGCCTCCAGGAGGACATTTGCAAAAACTCCACAAAAAAACTATGGTTTTTGCGATTTATTCCTAGATAATGATCCAGGATTGCTGGTTTCTTAGACTCGGGTGTTGTGCCCAACTCAGCTGTATCTTTTGGGGTTGGAGCCCTTTGGACCAGCATGGGGCCCTCCCTTTGCGATGGGGTGGCCCGTCTTGAGAAAAGCGCATTCCGAGTTGGAAGCCACTGATGTCAAGTGGTTCCGACTCGCTTTGCTGTGACCCAGGCCCCACCTGTCGGGCGGATTGCGCGGAGGCGAACTGAAGGCTCACTCCCGGACGCTCCGGGACGGCCGTTGCCCACCAAACCATATCCCAGAGTGTCTTTTGGTTGAATATGGTTTTTGGGTTGCACTTAGTTGGTGGTTTGGATTGGTGGTCTGGCTTGGGATCTGAACCCCAGCATCTTTACAAGCCAAATGGGGAAGCCCCTGAACGTCCAAACAACCAGGCCAAACCATTTAGAGGGAACTGAATGTTGTTAATCCAACACGTCTTTATTCTTTGTGGGGGTGAAGGTGGAGCTGCGAGACTATGAGTTTGCTCCACTCCCCTCTTTCTTGTTAGTAAAGATCCCTTTGAGATTGGGACAATGGAGGAGCCGAGTTCTCGGGGAGGAAACACAGGCACAACTTTGGAAGAATCCGAATGGCAACCACCCAGTTGATTTTCCAAGGTTCGAATCCCGGGATTTCTGTCCAAACAACTCTGGATGGAACAAAGTCACTCCGGTTTGAAGAGACACTGCAGTTAATCACTCATTCAGCAAAGCACAGCATCTCCTCCGTGGGCCATTGTTTAAATCAGTGACCCCTTTGCATGATTTCTAAAACTTAGATCTGACTGAAGCATTCTGGGGTCCCCAGTTCAAGCCTTCAACCTCCAAAAGCTGCACAGACACCTGTGAAGAGCGCACAGCAGAGTGAAAATACGTTTGATGAACCTCACGGCAGGCCAATGCTGCTCCGCTCCCGGGCTGGCTTTCGTGTAAGTGTTGTCAAGCAATACATGCGTTGTCAAATTTATGTCTCCGTTAATTGGCATCTGAAGAAGCAACAACATGCTGACAGGGGCTGCAATGTGAACAAGGTGAGTGAGTGCAAAGCGTAAAGTCTGGCTTTTCTTTCAGAAACCTTCCATCATATTTGCGTTTATTGCAGGAGAGTGAATGCAAGAAAGAGATGCCAAGGGACAGTAAGCTCCACGTGGGCCCATGAAATCATGCATTGTTCCAAGATGGGCTTGGATGCAGTTTTCAATGTACTCCAGTGCATTCAGTATGTGACAAAACTGGCCATATCTTGGTTGCTTCTTGGTGGGATCTTCAGTGTTTGGCAAACTGAGTGGTTTGTAGCCAGCGCAAAGTCGCGTGTTTGGAGCGAGAACTGCCCAGAAGATCATTGGCACGGCTGGATATGTGACATGGTGTCGCCCATTCGGAATTCAACAGGTGTCGGCAAACGGATCAGTTTCTGCTTGATGCTCGCCTGAAGAAGGTTTGGTCCCGTTGTCCTGCAGCAGGTGTGACTTTCCTTGCTCAAAACGGGTTGCATGTCAGCACGCTGGCCAGGTGATCGGGAAATGTGCAGCTCCGATCTTTTCATATTAGCATTTGAAGACTTTCCGAGGGATGCTTTTGGGCGTAGCCAAGGTAGGTTGCCAATCGCAGAACACATTGGGAGCAGCGATAAGAACAATTGAGCGCTAATTAGCAGATGAAGTCATCAATCAGTCATTTGTTGGTGCCCTGCCAATGTATCCAGAACATGGGCCTTTGCTTGAGTGGCCCATTGGTTTCCTACCCCAGGGTGTTACGGGGTATCAAGGATGGAGAGAAGTTGCGTACACTATGCAACATACCAGCTTGGGACATGTTTTCCGGCCCCCTCAAGCATCAAAGGGCACTTTTAAAGGGGTCTCGAATGGTTAGGTCGCCTGCGTTACTTGGTTTGTAACCGCATGGTGGCCAGATGCCACGCTCAAAAGCTGCTTTGGATCATGGACGCGTGGCCCGACGTCCATCGTTTCTGCGCTTTGAAGGTTTCAGATGCAGCCGTGGCTCGCCGCGGGCGCCCAATTCAATAGGAGCTAGTGCAACTTGCGAAGGTTTGTGGTTTGTGGGCTGCTGTGGGTGAGATTTGGGAATTGAGGTGTGACAAGGTAAAGACGGAGTCAGGAGAAGCTTGGATGTAAACAGAGATTCATATTCTACCTTCATGGTTAGTGTGAAGCTATTGTGTTACTATGTTTGTTTGCCTATCTATATTTTGTGTTCATTTGCTTTTATAGTCTACAAAGTGTGGATTTGGAAAGAAATCAAAACTATGGAAACCAATTTGGCAGCGTCCAACACCTCCGTGTACATGTTTAGTAAGAGTCATATCATATCGACCAGCGCGTAAGGAACAACTCCACGCGCGTAAGGTGGCGTAAGCTGGTGTCGTAAGCAAAAACCTCCAAATGTGTCGCGCAAGCAAAAACTCCACACGCGTAAGGTGGCGTAAGCTGGTGGCGTAAGCATAATGATACGACATAGAAAATCATGACACATTTAGGACATGGCTCAATTAGCAAATGAGTTTGCCTCAGAATCCAAGGTGTCACCTCAAAAAGGGTGATTGATTTTGAAACTCAATTTTAAGACATGACAGTTTCATTTGTGAGTTTCCTTCGGGGTGTGTAAAGAGGACAACAAAGTGCGAAATGCGTTTGCTTAAACAACTGTTGGTGGTTCACGTGGTAAAGGGCCAGGACCTTGTTGCTGATAACATGTTTATTCCGCCCTGTTTGACAAGCGTTCGGGATTGAGCTGGCCAATCCTCCATTTTGAACAGCCCAAGCTCATTTGGCTCTCGCTATTGGCAAGCTGGTTGAGCGTTCTGTACCATGGCTAGTTGATGTTTATCAAACACACACAACAAAGTTAACAAACCATGTCACAGTAAATGACCCATACTTGTTCTTGGAGCGCTTACTGAATTTGAAAGTCAGTCAGGTCCCTTGAACCGAACATCCTCTAGGCACCCCCGGATTCGCTTTTGGTTTCCCATCGAACCCCGAGGGGACTGACTCAATTTCCACTGGGACCTCTGGAGGCCACCTTACCCTTGGGATTCCATTGGGCGCCTGCTGCTGAGCCTCCGAGTCTAGGTGCATCTTCCCGCCGCGCGCCAAAAAGTGATGAACTCCGTGGCTTAAAGCAGGGGAAATATCTAAGGTCAAGCAGCCTGTATGATTACTAAACCACATTTCCCATGGTCATGACGCCATTTGCTTTTAAGGTACCCCAAAACACCATTCTATTTACTGAGGCCTTTGTGGTCTTTCATGGTACGAGCCCCGTCTCTAGGGAGACTCCGTCATTCCACAGTTCCAAGACCGGTGTCGCAGAATGATGCTCGTGTAGCTATTGTTTTAAATTGAACACTGGCAAACGACCTCGGAGAGTTGGCAATACAAAACCGAGCAGCTATGTTCAGATTTGTTTCATGGTCGCGCATAGCACCGGCCAAGGGAAACATTGGCACACGGCTCGACAGCTGCTCGACAGTCACATTTAATTTGAGCCGTATCTTGGAAAGGGTGCCGAAAATGGACGACGCGCATGCATTGCACCTTGTGTGTGTGTGTGCGTGATGCACTTGCTCAATGTTTGCCGTGAATTGTGCCCGTTCCGCTGAATTGTCGATTTGTATGTTTGGTTGCTTTCCCTCATAACCGAATACTGGCCACAATGTGTTGTTTTGTTTTGACAAGCAAGATCGCACGACATGTAGTTGGCAACAGTAAGGGGCTCCAGCAAGGCAAACAAGCATCCGAATTGCAAAACTAGGAATCCCTGCGAGATGTTTGTTCCAAGATTCCAAGCCAGCTTGCACAACCGTTGCCCTATGTGACTACTGTCAAGTTAAACTTTTTGCGGAGGGTCAGTTTGACCAGCCCGACTGCAGGAATTCTCAATATGAGTTCGCACAGTTGATCTAAATGTGTAGCAAGCAGGGGGAGCCAAGCGAATTGGGATGTGCGAATGGGTTAGTTTGGCACGAGAAGTTTGGGCCCTCATCCACTTTCATTGGCTTCAGTGCACGTTTACCGTTCGGTTTCAAAGCGACAGGGTTACCTCGGCAGCCGGCAGCATGGAAGTTGTTTTCGTGTTCTCAGAACACGGCCAGGCTTCCAGCAAGTTGCCTAGTGGTGAGAATCATGATGAGTAAACCCATAGTTTGTTAGCTATTTAGGGTCAGCCAAAGTGGCTCTGTTGGTGTTCCTCATGGGATTTGGGTAGCTCCTCTTGGGAGCGGGTTCTGGCATATGCTTTGCCTTGTCCGTCGAATAGTGAGAGAGAGCATGTATGGTTTGTTTATGCGGGCCTGGCCCCACTTCAATCGTGTGTCAGGCACGCTTCGAAAACAAATAGTTGGCATGCAGCAAGGTTGGCCCCTCTTTTTGTTTTCCGCAGAAGCATGCAAAGTGCAGCCAGCCAGCTCCCATTCCTCGCTGAGAATTGCACCTTTTCCAAGATGCGGTTTTGCCGGCGGAGCATGCCTGCCTCCCACAGCCTTGGCCAAGCGATGTCAGTTTCGTTTTCATGGCAGCAAGTTACAGAGGAGCCCTGTACTTGATCATGTCGGCTAACAAGAAAGTCGTGCTTCTCATAAAACAGGCCAGGCTTCCGGGGCAACGCGTCCAGTTGGGTGAACAAATCGATGGCACGGTTCAACTCCCCCTTTACCGACCAGAGAATGTTCCATCTAGTTGAGGGTGAAGCAAATGCGCTCTTTGGGCTGCAGCTCAGAGGTGCTCCCGTTGGCAACCGAAACTGGGCCTATTACAGTGAACTCCAATTAAAAGGAACCTATCACTACTGGACATATTGTTGTTCAGGGACTAAGCAAATGTACCATCAAATGGAGGTTGTCAGGGCTCGGGACCCCTCAAAGTGCAGGAATCCGCTCCAACTCAGATCTAAGGAACATGGTACGGCCATGGCTACCCTCTTTCCAACCATTGAAGTGGATGCCTCGCAGCTCTTTTTAAGAAGAAAATAGTTGTAAGAAGCCTCCGATCGTCAGCATGATAGTTGTAAGGGTATTCAGTTGGCGCAAAGCTCGTGCAGATTGTGAGTCAGGGTTAGGAAATGGTAAGTCTTTGAGAATCTCCCGTCCTGAGAGCAGTGCACAATGCGCCCGTAATGCTGCGGCCAAGGAAGTGGGAGGCTGAGTGCGTGTTTAGGCCGACCTGACTGGCCGTGTTAGACTAACCTTCCGTTCTTCATACAAAACGCACAGCCTCCAGGGCTTTGGGCCCTAACGGTTTTGCACATGCTTGTTGCCCGGGGGAGGGGGGGGGGGGGCGGGGTATCATTGGGTATCGGTTGTTGATGGCCCGCTTTGGGCCTCTTGCAGCAGTACCTTCGATCCAGTCGTCGGTCAACCCATGGGTTAATTATTTGTAGTTTCCTGCCCGGCAACCTCAAGACAGATCACATGTTCCCCATTTGTTCGGTGATCATCACGAGCGTTCAGTGCAGGAAGTGCTGGGAAGGTTGACAAAGTGAGCCGGATGCATGTTTGTTGCTGAAAAATAGTCGGTTCCGGGCAGCAAAAACATGACTCAGTGTAAATCAAAGCATCGGGTTTTCAATTGAGACATTGGGCCCGGGAAGATGAGTAAATGTAGCGCAAGGCTTTCAGGCTTCCGGCGGGCAGAGCAGGGAGCACAAACAAGGCGTGTTCCAGCCTTCGGTTGGCAGAATTGATTGGACTTGCAAAGTCGGTTTCAGTGACTTGGCATACAGGGACAAGCTTTCTTGGATGCTTGTTTCCCTTTTGGCCATCTCCAGTTTTGCCTTGCCACTAGGATTCCTTTTATGACTAGGTATCTTTGCTGCAAACTGTGGATGGCTGCTCGTGCCACACCCTTGAACGTTAACGTGGAGCCTGGACAAGCATTAAAGATGTAAGATGACGGTGCTCAATTCGCCGAATTCAAGGCTTGCAAGGGGTCAGGAGGTTAGCCAAGCCACGCTGGCATGTGCCCGCCGAGCCGGGTTATGAAGCTGAGAATGCTCAGGGGACTGCCTGCTGTACATAGTGCACCTGCAGCTCAGTACCAGCTCCAGCACTAGCAGTAGATAGTAGTGGCAACATTTGTAGGATACGGTGGTGTACCGGGTGCTGTTCCGTACCTGTACTGTGGCAATGGTGGTGGAGGTGGTGGTAGCCCGAGTAAAACGGTACTTGGGCTAGTCTCAAAATTGGGAACCATCAAAATTGTTGACCTCCCTTGGCTGTCCTTTGAAACATCTCCCAAGAAGGAGATCTTGTGGCCTGAGCTCACTTGCTCAAACCAGCTCGCTCGTGTTGACGGTCCTTTCTAGAGAGGTTCCCCTTTGGATTCCTTCTGGCGAAGGCTGGCCGGGCTGCAGGTGGATTTGAATTTGGCCCTGCACAGCACTATGCTGCAGGCATTGTGGGCACAGGCCCTGAGGACGGCTCGGACCAACATCCGCTGGGATTTGGGCTGGGAAGTGCCAAGGCTGGAATGCAGGACTCTTGCAAGAATGTTGTCATCCAGGCCGTCATGCCTGGTACTTATTAAGTTTTAGTTTTTTCTGTTTTGACATCTCGGAAGGTCTTCACGAGCTGATCGATCCGGGGGAG